TAATTTGGGAATAATAACTAAAGTAAAAGTTAACATTTTTCCTCCCTCGCGGCCTCCCATATTGAGCTTGTGCGATAATTTTCATTTGTCATCACTTTTTAAACTCATTTCACTATCGCAACTCGATTGCTACATCTCTTTTGACATTTGAGATACTATATACTCCCTCCGTCCCAAAATTATTGTCCACTTTGATATTTCACTTTTAGTATAATTTGAACTAAAACTGAGAACTAAAACTAAACAAAAATTATGGGACAGAGGGAGTATGATTTATAGGCCATGGGATCGATGATGTTAGCACAAATACTTTATATACAAGTGATACCATGTAAGTTCACTAAAAATTAAAATTCATACTTTTCGTATAAAAAAATATGAATCGGTGTAAACCTAAAACATAATTTTCCTCTATTAATGGTCCAACAATGAAAATGTCATGCTGACAAATGCACCATTTCAAAATTTGTAGCAAACTTTGAGGGCCATTATTCCTTTATTTGTGTGTTTTTCTTTCTTCTATATAAACTAGAACCTACCTACAATCAATAGCTGCTTCATAATTGATAGGGCTAAACTATATATATAATGCATGAGAACCAAACAATTGAGGTCCTTTTACATAGTACAATTTTTGCCCCACTAGAACAAGAAATGGAAATTTGGTAGGGTTTTGACATTTCAGGCGCATGCAGAAGAAGTGGAGTATAATTGAAGGAGGGGAAAAAAAACCCCAAAAAACCTAACATGTTAGCCTTCAGCCTTTTCCACTGCTCTGCCTAATTATAGAGTTATAGAAGTGGGTCAGAACTCAAAAAAGATGATGATAATTCCCGAAGAGAAGACACCAACGTTCGGAAAAGCACATATGTTCTCCAGAGAATTGCGCAACTTTTTGCCCTCGTTATGCATTCAATGAATAGTTCCTCACCCGCATGTGTTGGGCAAATGGCTTAGAATTTTGATACGAGTCATACCACTAAAACGAGACCTTGAATTCAAGTCTTGTAGATGGGAAAAAAAATAAATAAATCGAGAGGTATTGTTCATTGAAAGGAGTTTCTGTGTTAGCTAAAAACACACATTTCAATTTTTTTATTTATTTTTTATTTTTTGATGATACACTTTACTAAGAGAATATATTCAAATGGCATTTTATATTATGAAATTATTGTTTCGATTATATCTCATAATAATAAATATGATAGTTACACTTTTTTTTTTCGGTAAACAATAATATAATTACTTCGAGACAAAAGGCGGGTATTTTTTAAAAACTGGTGCGATCATTCTTGTAACATACCATTATTCGTAATCCACTCATCCACAATCTTTCCAGGCCCAAAGGCTCCAATACTACACAATACAGAAAGTTTAATTACTAAGCCCAAGGATGTGATTTTGGCCCGTCAACAACATAATTTGGCGTCAACTTTCTATTTACAACCTCCTCTATTCAGGGTTCAAGCTTCAAAAAAGTGGAAACGCACTTAACAACATCCTATAAAATATTTAACAATAAACTTTACAAACAAAAACTAGAGACTTCAAATGTTTAGCTCTCATTTTGCACCAAAAGCATATTCGGAGGCTGACAAGACAGTGAGAGTATGTAAAGTGAAAGGTAAGCATGTTCAGGAAATTTTACGAAAATAGTGCGAGATTTACAAAAAAAATACCTAATACCATTATTGTATTTTGGAAAGGGATGAAAAATGAATTACATCTATAATTTTTACTAAAAAATTGATGTAACTCTACCAATTGAAAATAGGGAGGGGATGCGAATGCCTACACCATCACACAATTTTTATTTGATATGTTTGATAATAATAATAAAATCCATTTTATTATAATGTTAATGGTTGTATTTTGATTATAATTTTGAAGATAATAATAGATTTTATTATTATTTTGATGTAGGCAGTAAAAAGTGAAAGATGGACCGTCATAGATCTTTTCCGGTTGTTTTACGAAATTGGAGTTAAAAAAAAATTGAGAAGAATCCAGCTGAAAAAGATTTACTATACAGATGATTTAGAGAAGATATTAATCAACCATTATTTGCAAAAATCTTGACTGGTTGGTAAAATGATTATTGTTGGATATATATTGAAGGCTGTTTCTTTACAAGTTGGAAAGTTGAAATCTTTGACCAGATTTTTTAAAAATCTCACAACCAAATTGGAGGGCAAGTTTAGATACGATATTCAGATTCCTACTTTGTTAGAAATATAGTTCGGCCAAACCATTATAAATAGGCTTTGTGGATGATTGAAAAAAACCCACCCCGTAGTTTGCATTTTTTGGCTGCTACTACTTTCTCCATTTTCGCCACCATTTTCATTTAGCCTTTTGTTTTAATTTTTTTTTTATACCTTTAAAGATGTTTCTAGTCACTATGAATGGATAGTTTTCTTCATTTGGTTCAAGGATCTTTATTCTTTTATATTATATGTGAGACTACAAGTTTCACTTTATTTTTTCTACTTTTAATTCAAGTACTTGTTGATTTTAATTTCCTTTTATGAGAGCAGATACTTGATTAATCTGACAATTTAATCAAGTATTTTCTTCTTACTGCTACTAAATTATTTATGCTGCGCCTATCGTCTTAAACATTTGGCACTAAGTAGCACATTAGTAGATTATGCATGTTGATAGTGACACGTTGAATGTGCATAATAAGTCTAACTAGGAGATCAATAGGACAAAAATATTTTAATTGCAGCTATCTCAATTATTTTAATTTTTAGTTCAACTAAAATTTTAAAGTTTTTATTGCTAGTATAATTTAACATGGAACGCATTCGTGCCCAGTTAAATTATGCTAAGTTTTGATTAGGTGCTGGGCTTGGTCAAATATTTTTAGAAAATATAAGGCTTTTTATGGCTGTCCTATTAAGCCTACGGTTGAATGCTTGATTTGTAGAAAAATGTATTTTTAGTCGATAATCTATAATATATTTGAATCATTCCTTGAACCAAAGTTTTTCTATTATTAATTTTCTCTCTATTTTTATTTATTTCAAATTGTCATTTTATTTTAAATATGAAAAATCCCCCATGTTTGCATTTTTGTAAAGCCAAATATTAAAAGTCGGCTCTCTTGAGATTTCACCGTTTCTACAAATTAATTTTAGTTTGTTAGGAAATCAGATTAATTTTTGCAGGTCTCGACAAACCTGCCAATGTTCTTGCTTGACTAATCCTAATGTATACCTTCACAAAATGGTTCCTCGTAAACTAGAAACAGTTAAACTGACTCTGTATAATAGTTTGCTAACACTACCATCTCCGAAACAATATGAAGACATGAAAAACCTCATTCCAACGGCTAGAACTTTCTAAATGGTGCCATATTTTACTTGGCCGACACAAATGGAGACTTCAAAAAACTTCTATTTTAGTCTTTTAGACCACCGGCCATCTCTCTCTAAAAGTGGTAGCAGAAGCACCTGCCTTGGTCGGTAGAAAAGTGCACTAAAATAATCATCGTGTTCCTCATAAAACGTTCCAATCCCATTACAGGAATTGGATATTACCTCTTCTATTTCAAAAAAATAAAACATAATATTATTTCAGGAATTTATTTTTATTCTTTCTTTTTTACCCAAAAAAAGAAGTATTATCATAGGTATGGCAATATGGCATAAATAATTTTTTGGTTGAAGGCATAAATAAATCTTTAGTGAATAGTGAGAGCAGCAGAACACAACAAATCCGAATGTCAAATTTCACCGAACAACAAAAGAACCAGAATCGAGTCGCCCAACCAATAGCATGTAAGCTCTTGAGCCCACATATCTTGCCCACCGTTTCTGTAAATTTCAAACAGTTATTTGCGAATATCCCCCCAAGTTTCATCACTTTGCAAAATCACTCTTCCATTATAGTACATATACTATTCCTTCCATATTTTTCAATTTTATTTTTGCAATCAATCTTCACTTTGTTTGGTGAATATCCTCTCTAATTCTAACGGCATGAACTGCATGTTACAATCACTTTTACTTTTTATACGAATCTTTAATCTACTTGTTTTCTTTTCTTTTTTCTTTTTCCCCTCAAAACACCTTTATCTCATAATTAAACTTAATGCAAACTTTCTCTTCATCACACATTATTTGTGGTTCATTGCCTGCTCTATTTTCAATTGAAAAGTATTAATCATATACTTGCATCTTGTTTTAATCAATGTCAATGAATGGGTAAAAACACTAAATATACGAATATCACAAAAACTCATCAGAGGAAACCGTAAATTAGGGTCCAATTGTTCAGTTAAAAAGATCATTTCTGCCTACTAGTAGTTAAAATAATAGTTGATGGGTCAAGAATTGCTTTTTCAAAACATTGACAAAACTTGAGGAGCATCGTTTGCAATTAACTCAAATTCCAATTCGAATGTGCTCAGACAATGGTTAAAAAAAAAAAAAAAAAAAAAATCTTTTCACTCAGCACAAAGCCCCAGAAACAAGTCGGCAAATATCAAACAAAGTGTCAACATCACAGTAATTTTAAGGAGGTGATTGGCACTTGGCAGTTCAAGCCTTGTTAGCATTCTGCATAATATTAGTAATACGCTGTTTCTTTTCCAGTACGTAGCAGTATATATATATAGTCAAGAAGGTAGGCAAAGGCGTTTTCGGTTTATACGTGGACGCTCAAAGTACTCAAAAAATTTAAAATAGGATTATTCTGTCAGCATCAATTCAGATACTTGGTTGGGCTTTTGAGTCTCAGAAAAGCAAGTCAAACGTAGAGTAATCAATCAATCATCAATAAACTGTTTTTCTATTTGGGTTTGGATTGGAGGGTTCTTGTTGCTTTGAAGATTTGAATTAGTCTGTTGCATCTTTGTTGGCTTATTTTTGGAGTTCTCTAATCAGGGTTTACTCTGTTTTGGGATATTTTTCCATTTGTGTTTGAGGGCTCTGTTTTTTGAAAGTTCTTGGCTTTGAATTTGTGAGGATTTTGAAGTGAGGTTGGAGTTGAAAATGGAGGAAAGGTATGAGCCATTGAAGGATCTTGGTGCTGGGAATTTTGGAGTGGCAAGGCTTGTCAGAGATAAGAAGACTAAAGAGCTTCTTGCTGTCAAGTACATTGAGAGAGGGAAGAAGGTATTTTCATCCATTCAATGTGCATTGATTTAGTTTACGTTATCAGTCTAGGAAATCAGATTCTGCAGAAAATATCTGGTTTTTGATTGGTTTATTTTCGTTTGCAATTTGTTCAAAGTAAGCATGGTTATACTCGTATTAAGTTTTAGCCATTGACAGATTGTTTTATGTGTCCTGTTCATCAGATTGATGAGAATGTACAAAGGGAAATCATCAACCACAGGTCCTTAAGGCACCCCAACATTATCAGGTTCAAAGAGGTAATCTTTCAATTGATCCTATTTAAGCCAAATCTGTGTATCCTTCTGGGTGGACTCAACCAAAGGGTTAACTCTTAAGTCTTTGGAGTTTGGAAGGACTGGGTAGATTGTAAGAGTTATTTGAACTTAAATATCCAGACTTGTTAGTCATCAAGAATGATTGTTAGTACTTAGTACTGTACCTAAGTGAATGTTTACAAGGTTTAACAATCTTATTAATGTAGTTTCCAAATGTGCACTTCTTGTCGAGATACCTGATTGCAGGCACAACTTAATTGACATATCTTACATTGAATCAGCCCTAAATTTAAGCTCGATAAAGTCACCAAATTTAAGCTGTAGGCCTTGCATTTTTCACTTTTTGCTGCCGAGATTAGGCTGGCGTTGGTGCAAGCCCTTGAAATAAACTTAAAATCACAAGCGTGTAGAACAGGCGAAACAAGGCTAATCAAGGTCATCTAGCCTTGTTTCGCCTTACCACTTCATAAGTTGAAACCTATGTCGACCATCTTTATGTCAGCGCTGCTGAAATATTTTGCTTATGAATGAAGCATAATAACCGCAATGAGATTGTGTTTCTTGGCTCTTTTATCTTTCAGGTTGTGCTCACTCCAACACATTTGGCAATAGTGATGGAATATGCTGCCGGGGGAGAACTTTTTGCAAGAATATGCAGTGCTGGTAGATTCAGCGAAGATGAGGTGCACATATGGGAAAGTGTTTCCATTAGTTAATCAGTTTGTTTCCCCTTGTTGGTTCTGACAGAGATACTATCGCATTGTTAACTCATCGATTGCAGGCTCGCTTTTTCTTCCAACAACTAATATCTGGTGTCAGCTATTGTCATGCAATGGTAGGGAAGTTTGTACACGAATGACATCTCCTTGTGTGATTTAACTGCTTCTTTTATTAGTATATATTTCCTGATAATGGTTCAATTTTCTTCAGGAAATTTGCCATAGGGACTTGAAACTGGAGAATACTCTCTTGGATGGGAGTCCTACACCACGTGTCAAAATATGCGATTTCGGCTACTCAAAGGTTACATATAGCTTCTGGAAAACCTTTTAACATAATACATACTAGATTTTAGTCCAACTCATGGAATTCTACGTCTGCAACTTCGTGCAGTCTGGATTGCTGCACTCACAACCCAAATCAACCGTGGGAACACCAGCATATATAGCACCTGAGGTCCTGTCAAGAAAGGAATATGATGGAAAGGTATGTCCGTCAAAGGAACTGATTTTAAAGAAGTTTCTCTGTTCTTTAACAATGTCCATTTTCAGATAGCGGATGTTTGGTCATGCGGCGTGACATTATACGTGATGTTGGTGGGATCATATCCCTTTGAGGAACCTGATGATCCCAGAAATTTCAGGAAGACCATAGCTGTGAGTTTGAATGCCTGAACATTAATGTCATCAATAGAGCCAAGTTTTTCAACATTTTGTGTCATTCATTTAACATTTGTCATTTCTAAATTCTAACAGAGAATCATGAGTGCTCAGTATTCCATCCCGGATTATGTCCGAGTTTCTGCAGATTGTCGACATCTACTCTCTCGCATCTTTGTTACTAATCCATCCAAGGTAATTTCTTCTACTGAAAGAACGAGCTTCAATCGATGTAGAAATAACTCACATCGAAGTAAAATGGCAATGGAGTTGAATAAATGTTGTCTTTATATGCAGAGGATTACCATTCCAGAGATAAAGCAACATCCATGGTTCCTAAAGAATTTGCCGAAGGAGCTTGTAGATGCGGAAAAGCAGGGTAGTAGTACCAAACAAGAACCTGATCCTGAACAACAGCTTCAAAGTGTGGAAGACATAATGAGGATCATACAAGAGGCGAAAATCCCAGGCGAAGCGCCTAAACCCGAAACACAAAACTCCATTGTTGGATCGATCGACACTGATGATTTAGAAGGTGACCTGGAATCAGAAATCGACAATAGCGGAGATTTTGTGGTACGAGTTTGAAGTCACATTATTTGAGGGAAATGGCTTGTGTAAGTGGTACGTCTTGTTGATATTCGTTACTGTAGAATGTTGTACTGAGTTGCAGGTTCTTGATATTAAATTGTTTTTACTTTTTGTATAGACTGTAACAAGCAGATCAATTACTCTCTTAATGAAAATCCAGTCTTTTCTGCGATCAATTACTCAACCTTGTTGTTAATTATGCCGTTCAATGAGCTATCTATTTATAGGCAGTCACTTTTAAGCTTTACTGGTGGGGAAATTTTGGGAATTTTTAAACACCAAAAATTACCATGAAATTGACAATGTGTGTGCGAATCTGATAATATGTTGTATAAGTAAGTAATTTTGCGCTAGTTAGTAGGCCTGTAATGTACATTATTATTTATCGCCTAAAGTTATCAAAGAAGTTTATTGCTCCAAAATAGTGGTAAACCCCAAAATAATTTTTGCATTATGTGTACCTGGTTCAACTTTTGAACGATTTTTTTTTTTAAATTTTTTTAACACAGTTACAAACACGTAGACTACTATATGTAGATGAAGCCTATGAGAAATGGATAGTACTACTAAGGGAAGGTTTTTGAACAACTCTAATTAACACGAACTACTAAAAACACATCTCAGAGGACCGATGCCGGAAGTTAGAGGTGGAATAGGTGATGCATGGGCAACTTGGAATTTTTTAAATGGAGTATACTATAGATCGTCGTTTCTATCACTAGACTAAACAAAATGGGATCTATTCAACCCTGGTCCAGATCCAAATTGTAGAATAAAAACAATAAATACTGATAATCAAATGCAGTCAAGTTTTTTGGATTGCATAATTTTTGACAAAATAAGCAGAGGTTGCTTGCTTCGCGGAACAAATGTCCTACTCCCACAATCAGCGCCTGATCCGGCACAAATGCAATTGGAGAAATTGGCATGGAAACGCCTTTGGAATTCTGGAGTACAACCAAAACACAAGTTCCTCCTATGGAGAGCTTTACTTCATACCCTCCCAACCAGAAAGGAACTAAATCGAAGAGGATGGAGGTGATATGCCCTAGATGTCGCACAGCTGATGAGGACAGTTTACACTTTTTCCAGTGTAAAGCATCACAAGCTATATGGGCGTTCTCATACCCTCGCTTCCCAGTTATTTTTTGTTTTGCACCCTGGTTCATTACTCATTATTTGGATACAGTCACATCCATCCAAAGAAGATGTTGATTGCTTCTTACTCATTATTTGGCGCATTTGGTTGAAACACAATGATAAAATTTGGAGGAACCAGAGTAATGATCCGTCGGTATCATGCCAACTTATTCTCTCAGAGATCTCTGTCCGCCTTAGGTCCACAAGGCTGCCTCCTTCTCCTTCGCCAAGAGGGCCAGAGGATGCTTTGATTATTTTTGATGGCTCATATAGTCACCGAACACAAAAAGCGGCAGGAGCTTGGAAAATTGTTTTCCCTCATGGCATGGTGATGCTAGTAAAGGCGGTGGATTTAGATGCCCTATCCTCCTTTCAATCAGAGGCAATGAGATGCCTCATAGCCTTAAAAGAAGCCCTGAACTTCGGAATCACTAGACTACATGTCTACACGTCAAGAAGTTAAATATGTAATTCGTACTACTACGTTATCTTTTCAATCGTGTACACTGATTAAAGTGCATATACATGATGTAGCGGAACGTCATAACCTAGCTTTTAGTAGAATGGGTTGTAATAGCTTAGGTATCGGATTTAACTAATGAACAAGTACCACTTCAAAAAAAGAAAAGAAAAAAAAGAAAAAGCAACAATCAAATTGACTAAAAAAGTTACTAATATGTCAGCTCTTAAAAATGATCAAACCAAGACATGATTCTATATATGGTCATCTAACAAACTGTTAAGGATCTCATGCCGTTCATTGATTTGATGGAGCTCTTCAACTGTGTTGCCATATAGTATCATCAAATCTGATTTTTTTTCCTGAAAACTTTCAACTTCGTGGTCCTCCAGCACGAACCTGATCGTATACGTTCTTAGCTTTTATCATCATTTTAGCATTTTTCAGAGCCTCAGCTCTTTTATTGGCGCCGTACTTGTCATGAAACTCCAGGGCACGAAGAGGGTCATATCCAGCTGCGGCCATCAGCATAATTCCGATGAGGTCGGCTTCCATTTCCCTCCTTATGAAAGCAAAAGCAAAGATGATGTTTTTAATTAGTGGTTCCACCTTGGAGAAGAACAGACCTTCACCCAGGAAAGGTTTTACTAGACCACAAATGAACTTGAAACATATTAATCTCAACAGATATTCAGATGAATGTCGAGCTATTTGATGACCAACTTCATAAGCGATAATAGTTGCCAAATCTTCATCCGTAAAATCTGGATCGTCGAACAATTTAGCGGGAAACGTAATCCTTCCGTTGGGGAAATGCGCAGCATTCTCTATGGGTCGGTCAACCACCATGACTTCCCAGTTTAAGCCTTCCAAATGCTCGGTACCATATCTAATCCCGAATTTCCTCCTAACTTTCTGAGGCTTGTTTTGAACCCTTTTGTTTGGATGGGATGAGTAGTACTTTATAATGTCTATATGAAACTTGAAGAAATCAATCCTTGTTGGTAGAGTAGGATCCTTAGGATCTTTCAGCTGCAATTCTTTTCTCGGAACATAGATAGACACTTGGAAATCATTTTTCAGCCCCAAGATTTGATGTGTTGCCTGTAAAATGTCTTTCAGAATCCGGGTGATCCGGATACTTTCTGGTCTGTCTGGACTCAGAATTTGGCGCCGATGCTTGATTGCTTCGACCTCCCAAGCTATAGCGCCGGCCATATTATCGATTTCGTCCGAGGATATAGCCAGGTGCATCCTCTCGGATACTGGTATCCATTCCAAACTCATGAAAGGTAATGTGGAAATGATAGCAAAGCCTAGAAATTTATGCTTCATAAACCAAGCCCAGAAAGAAGAAGAAAAAGAAGAGTACTCTTTTCCAGCACAAGTCTTGTAAACTATCCTCTCGAAACCATGAGATAAACAAGTCTTTTTCTTATAAGTCTCGGCATCTTTTAATCTGCCATACCTTAATGCAGCTGAAGAAAGCGTCCGAACGTTACCTGAGTTGCTAATTGGAAACTTGGACCTCCATGGAGGATGATGGTTCATGACATTGTGAAATGCAACTGTAGGCCCTTTGTTTTGGCCGCAATTGCTGCTGATGATATACTCTAACATCGGTGGCGGTTTCTTCATGTTGAAGCTGAAAAATATGTTTGATTTTTGATGCTTTTGAAATCCTGAATTGATTAACGAACTAGCTTAAACTTGAAATGTTAAGCAGAAGTGATAGCTCACTTGATTTAATGGCGAAAGCTTTTAGGCCTAGCTTATGAAAGGTAATGGCAGAGGTTTATGCTTCACAAATTAATCTTAAAACATATGATTTTAGTTTGACCGTATACGCCTTCCAAAGTCCTTCTTCTAAACAAGAAGAACAAGGAGCAAGTTGATCAATATTTAATGTCGTCAGTTTGACTTAAATATAAACAAAGTTTACATTAAGATACCTAGGGATTAAAGTTTATATTGACCGCTATTTGGTTAAATGACAACTTTTTGTTAGGTATGACTTTGGATGAATATTATTATTATTATTATTATTATTATTATTATTATTATTATTAACTTACTATTCACATTGCTCTAGAACAGACAAATGAGTGTCAGAACCAATAATCATTAACCTCAATATAGCAGATTTGACAATTATTAACTTTAATATACCACAAAAAGGATCAAATTTCATAGTGGTGTAATAAATCAAATATAAGGTATATAAAATCGTAACAAAAAAAGATAATAATAAAAGAAAGTCAAACAAATCAAGGTTATATCAAACCCTTACAAAAATAGATAACAATGAAAATAAACTTCTAAAATTAAGGTTAATCGATGAGTCCATAATTGTGTCAAGCTATGAAAGGGAAATGGATTCTTTTGAAGGAAAATGGAGCTTCACCGAAACCAAAATGGTAACGGTTTGGCCAGAAAGTACTCTGAGGCAGAGCTCCGATGGTTACAACTAGAAGAAAGAGAAAGATGACACTATTCTTATGATTTTATAATACCCATCTAGAGCAATCTAAGTAGATATTTATAGCATAAATACAAAACAATCAAACGGGTCACGTGCATCCCGATACCTGACCTGCATGTGCATGAAACACATTAAATGTCTCAGTCCCGCGCCGCACTAGCTTCCCTCTCTTTTTCAAATTAGTGACCGAATTACTTTGGCAGGCATGACAATCCCCCTTCCTAAAACAACACTTGTCCTCAAGTGATAAAGGCAAGAAATTGACCCTTGATGAATGCACAATCTTCCCAAGAAGTATCTTCAACATCCAATCCTTTCCACTTCACCAACCACTGGACAACTTGTTCACTATCCCTCTAAATAAACCTTCTTTGCAACACGTGTTCAGGTTCTAAAGCACATGCTTCTGGATCCTCCATATCTGGTAACATTGTAATGGTGAGAGGTGATGATCCATGATGTTTCTTCAGTAAAGACACATGAAAGACTGGGTGGATTTTTGTTCCTGCAGGCAGCTCTAACTTGTATGCAATACTCCCAACTCTTTCCAACACTTAGAAGGGGCCAAAATATCTAAACATCATCTTCAAGAAGCTCTTTGTTACCAAAGTCTGTTGCCTGTATGATTGTAACCTCAAATAGACCAAATCTCCAACTTAAAAGCTTCTTTCAGTTCTCAGCTGGTCAGCATACCATTTCTCTCTCTCCTGAGCCTTCACCAAACTGTCCTTCAATCTATGTAAGACCTCATGTTGTTGTTGGAGCATATCAGATGCAGCTGGATAACATCATGGTAAGCTCCCAGAGGAATTCCAACAGGTTAGTGTCCATAGAGAGCTTGATAGGGAGTCATCTTTGCACTCGTGTGGTAGGCAGTATTATACCACCACTCAGCTAAAGGTATTCACCGAGACCATGTATTGGGTGAGGAATGACAAAAACATCTCAAGTAACTTCCAAGGCGTTGATTTAATCTTTCTGTCTGGCCATCAGACTGAGGGTGATAAGCAGTGAGATTCAACTTGACTCCCATGATCTTGAAAAGAGCTTGCCAAAAGTGGCTAGTAAAGATCTCATCCCTGCCAGTTACAATGGATTCTGGTAATCCATATAATCTATATATTTCTTTTATGAACTTATCAGCCACCTCTTTAGCAGTAAATGGATGCTGCAAGGGTATGAATTGACCATACTTGATCAGTCTACCCACCATCACCAATAGACAATCAAAACCCTCTTTAGTCTTTGGTAATTTCTCAATAAAGTCTATAGAAATACCTTGCCAAGCCTTCTCAATAATGTTTAATGGTTGTAACAACCCAGGGTAGTGAACATGTTCAACCTTGCCAGCCTGACACACAACACAACTTCTTACAAATTGTTCCACATATTCTTTCATATTCTTCCATTTGAACATACTTCTCAACCTTTGTTAAGTTGCTTTCTGTCCTGAGTGACCTCCCAAAGTGGTTGAGTGAAAAGTATCTAATAACAGCTTCCTAATTTCACCCTGACTCCCCACATATATCTTTCCTTTCACCTTCAACAAACCACCCACATACTGCAACTGTGAGTTATTATGGCTATCCAAAGTTACTTCTAAGATCAACTTTTGGGATTCTTCATCCCTCACATAACTGCTAGCCGATTGTTGTAACCATATGGGTAGGATAGTGGTAACATCATACACTTGATCACCCACAGAACCCCTCCTTCTAGAAAGAGCATCAGCAGCTATGTTATCTTTCCCTTTTTTTGTACTGAATCCCATAATCCAACCCAAAAAGTTTAACCAACTATTTCTGTTGCAGGGAAGTTGTAATTTCTGATCCAATAAGTATTTAAAAGTTTAGTAATCAGTCTTAATAATGAAGCGATTACCTTGCAAATAATGTTTCCACTTAATGATTGCCATCACCAATGCAAACAACTCTTTTTCATAAGTGGAAAGGGCCTTGTTCCTGTTACAGAAAGCCTTGCTAAGATAAGCTAAAGGTTGCTCTTTTTGCATCAATACAACCCCCATACCTTCACCACAAGCATCAGTGTCAACTACAAAAGGTTGAGAAAAGTCCGGTAGTCTCAATACAGGTGCTGTAGATAATACTTGCTTCAATTGCTGAAAAGATTGAGTAGCTTGATCATCCCATTTGAACTCTCCTTTTCTCAATAAATTGGTTAGAGGTTTGCTGATCAACCCAAACCCCTTAATGAACCTTCTGTAATAACCAGTTAGTCCCAGAAAACCCCTCAAGTCTTTGACATTTTTCGGAATTGGCCAGTCAACAATGCCTTGTACTTTAGCAGGATCCATGTGAACTCCTTTATCAGAAATAACATGCCCCAAATATTCCATGGAAAGTTGAGCAAAAGAACATTTGGACTTTTTAGCTTATAACTGATTATCCACCAACACTTTCATCACCTTATCCATATGAATCACATGATCTTCTAAAGTCAAACTATATACCAATATATCATCAAAGAAAACCAAGAGAAACTTACGGATGTAATCTTTGAAGGCTCTGTTCATTAGATTTTGAAAGGTGGCAAGTGCATTTGTGAGCCCAAATGGCATGACAAGGAACTCAAAGTGGCAATGATGAGTTTGAAAAGCTGTTTTAGGCACATACTCGCAAACCCTGATCTGGCTGTACCCTGATTTCAAATCAATCTTGGAAAAGTACATGGAACCACATAATTTATCCAACAATTCTTCAATTATAGGAATAGGATACATGTTCTTAACAGTCAAGGCATTCAAATGCCTGTAATCTGTACACATCCTCCAGGTACCATCTTTTTTCTATGTCAACAATAGTGGAGAAGCATATGGGCTATCACTTTCCTTGGTTGTTCCCTTCTGCAACAATTCATCCACCTACTTTTCAATCTCATTTTTATGAGCATAGGGATACCTATAGGGTTTTAACTTGAAAGGTTCTGACCTGGATTCAGTAGAATCTGATGATCCACTGATCTTGCTAGTGGTAAGGAAGTTAGTTCCTTAAAAACCTGTTGATACTTATCCAATACTTGTTGAACCTCCCCAGGTACTTCCTGTTCCTCCAAAGAAGCCATTACTATTTCAGTGGCCATACTAGTTTTCCTGTGAGCTGTAAAACCTTCTTCACACCATTTCATTCTCTTGTAAGGAATATGAAATTGCACCTCCATGCTAGTCTTTTGGGCCTTGCTTGCCTCAAAATGCCTTGCATTTTATTTTCTGTTGCCAAAGAATGCCCTTGAATCATGAATCTTTTGCCTTGCCAAGACTACTCAATGCAGCATCTATCATAATCAAATAGAATTGGGCTTAAATATGACATCCAATCAATCCCTAAAATCATTCTCCAATTACTCAATTTCATGACTCTAAAATCAAACTGGAAATGGTGTTTTTGGATGGTCCATCTAGCTGCTGGACACATGATATTGTTGCTGATTTGGTGACCATCAGCAACCTTCACATAGTAAGGTTTAACAATCTTCCTTACTAATCCCAACTTCTGAGCCAATGATTCATCCAAAAAACTCCTAACTGCCCCAGTGTCAATCAAGATTTTGATCAGCTCATTGTTGATATAACCCAAGACCACTATCAACCTTCTTGGTTCCTTTTCCTCATTGTCATGTACTGTCATACATCCATCCCAGCAGTAGATAGCTTGGACTTGTATCTCAGAAGCAAATTCCAACTCATCACTAAGCTAATTAACCTGTTCCAAATCAACATCATCATTTACAATTATTAGGTTAACTTGTTCCAACTTGCATACATGACCCGGTGTAACGCTCCAGCTGCCAGGTCTGTCCCAATAACTATTTGGGTATTCGTCCTCGCTGTACCCAAAATGGTTAATCCAAGTTATTAGGAAACCAGGCTGCTAAGGCTTATATACAGGTTCACTCCCTTGCCTTCTGTCGATGTGGGACAGCCACATGCATGCTTGACATGCATGCTTTCTCACGGGTCATCACGCTCGACCCCCCTTCGGATCCTTGCGTCCTCGCAAGGCCCAAGACACACAGCACAATACACACATCACTTGTCTCACACCTCCTACGAGCTCAGAGGTGTCACACAACACTTGTCTCCTACGTGTGAGCTCAGAAGTGGGTCCGCATCTGGACTAGGTTGCTCTGATACCCAATTGTAACACCCCAACTACCAGGTCTATCCCAATAACTATTTGGGTATTCGTCTACTCAAAATGATTAACCCAAATTATTAGTAAACCAAACTTCTAAGGCTTATATACAGGCTCACTCCCTTGCCTTCCATCGATGTGGGACAACCACATGCATGCTTGACATGCATGCTTTCTCACGGGTCATCACACCCAGTCCCCAAGCACCATTATATTTCCAACACAGATTATTGGTTGTCCTGTACTCTTTTTCTTCAGGTGAAAGTCTCTTGTACAATGGTCGATCATTCTTCTTTATCCCATGAGCAGCCACTTTACCCCCAACACTGGAAGTTCTACTTACTGGTGAAGTGTAAACCTTAGGTTTAGGAACTAAAGCTAAGGTAGATTTTTGTGTTTTTGCTGCTTCAAAAGCTCTTTATACTGTCCTTGGTTCAGTAAATCTCACAAATGGTTTAAATTCTGCTTTAAGGCCACTTACAGAACTGCAAATGAAGTAGGATTCACTTAGTCTAGGATCAATACGGAAGACTCTAGATTTAAGCTCTTCAAATTTATCATAGTAATCCTTAACTGTCCCAGTCTGGTGTAACTTGTTAAATTCTTCAAATGGATCATCCTCCTCAGTTCCTTTAAACCTCCTGAGTAATTCTGTTTCAAACATTCCCCAATCCGCCTCCGGATAGCCCTTTTTGAAGCTTTGATACCAAAAATCAGCCACCCCATCCAGATAAAACTCAATTGAATCTAGCTGTTCTGCTTAATTCATCTCATATAATACGAAAAACATATGGCTTTTCCTCAACCATCTTCAGTATTCTCACCAGTAAAGACACGTAACTCCAATTTTGGTTTAGGCTTCCATTTCTTATGTGATCTTAATTCATTCGACTCATAATTGTTACTGATCACTTCTAGTGGAATCCTTGGAACAAATTTAGAACCACAATTAACAGAATCGTCTAATTTCCCAATCTTAACCCCAAAAGTTGACGGAGATTGATACTGACTAGAATTCTTATCCATATAACTAGGAGAATCCTGAATCTGCTCCTTCGCTCGTTCAATTATAGATACCCTGGCTTCCAAAGCATCAAATCGATCTCGAAGAGTGCTGGTGATGTATTGAGGGAGCTCAGCTTTGAACTTAGCATCCTCCGACTTGAATCGAGCATCCTCTACTCTGGATTGGTGAAAACTTGCAACCAAATCCTTCAATTGCTCAGCAATCGATGCAATAGTCGCCTGCTCGCTGGAATCCACCGCCTGATTCGTCATGCGTTTGGATGCCATTTTCCTAACATATCTGAGAATCTGCAGTCTCTGATACCAAATGTCAAGCTATAAAAGAGAAATGGATTTTATTAAAGGAAAATGGAGCTTCACCGGAATCAAAATGGTAATGGTTTGGCCGAAAAGTACTAGGAGGCAGAGCTCCGGTGGTTAAAACTGGAAGAAAAAGAAAGATCACACAATTCTTATGATTTTACAATACCCATCTCGAACAATCAAAGTAGATATTTATAGCATAAATACAAAACAATCAAACGAGTCACGTGCAGCCCGATATCCGACCCGCATGTGCATGAAACTATTAAATGTCTCAGTCTCGCGCCGTGCCATCTTCCCTTTCTTTTTCAAATTAGTAACCGACTTACTTTGGCGAGCATGACAAATTGTACCTCATGGATCGGGCCTGATCCACGAGTTAAATATGAACCGACCTTCTAAGGCGGTTAGTGTTGTACGAAATCTAGTACAATTCGGATAAATAATAGGTAGTTCTTGGCATATGAATAGAGTTGATCACACTATAATCAAGGTACGCAATCTATAATATAGTTCAAAAATTATACGCTCTATCAAAACCTTTTTTCTGACTTAAGAATCTAAATGTCTGCCCTCGTGAGACCCCCGAAGTTCTCTTTTGCAGGTCACAAAACTTGCCGGAGTTTCACTACTCAATCGGAGGATGAATTTCGCCTTCGTCAAATGACACGCCCAGTGAAACCCGAGGTTTATGCTTTGTGTCACAAGTTTCTCAAGCTTTTTTTGTCTTCTTGAAACATAAATTAGGGTTTTTCACGTAAACCAAGAATGAGAAGTTGCTCACCCATAACAATTGATCTAATGGATTGATCTCAAACAAGCACAACGTCGCCAACCAAAAGACCAGCCGACAACTGTACTCTTGCAGAGGTCTAGAAGCTCTCTAAAATAGAAGGGAGGCAAAAAAAAAAGATTTGCCATTAAATGGTAATAAGGATTGTTTGGGAACGTGCCATTAAATGGGCTATGTCCACTTTCATTTGAGCGGGAGACCAGTCAGGTCATTCTCCCTAGTTGGAGTCAACCCATATCATGGGTTGCATCCTGCTTTAGGGCCTTGGGCCGAATCCAGGTTAGTTTTCTTTGTGTAAAATATCGTTTATTTACTAAATACTTGATAGGAGCACTTGACGAATTCATATGTGTACCTCATGGATCAAGTCTGGTCCACGGGTTAATTATATCCCGACCTAAGGAGGTTATTATTGTATAAAACCTAGTACAATTCAGACAACTGGTAAGCAATTCATGACCTATAAATAGGGTTGATCAGACCAAAATCAAGGTACGTAATCTATAGCACACTTCAACAATTATACGCTCTTTTAAAACCATTTTTCAGATTTAAGTATCGAAGTGTCTAGCTTTGAGAGACACCCAAAATTCTCTCTTACAGGTCCGAAATATTGCCGGAGCTCCACAACTAAATTTGAAGTGTTAAGCAGAAGTGATAGGTCACTTGATTTAATGGCAGAAGCTTTTAGGTTTAGCTTATGAAAGGACATGGCAGAAGCTTATGCTTCACAAATTTAATCTAAAAAATTTGATTTTAATTTGACCGACGCGCCTTCCAAAGTCTTTCTTCTAAACAAGAAGAAAGAAGGAGCAAGTTGATCAATATTAATGTCATCAGTTTGACTAAAATATAAACAACGTCTACATTATAAAAAAAACAGATACCCAGGAAGTCAAGTTTACTTTTGACCTCTATTTGGTGAAATGACACCTTTTTTTTAGGTAGAACTTTGGATGAATTGTTGTTATTATTATTAACAGACCCGTTTTTGTTAGGTATGACTTTGGATGAATATTATTATTCTTATTATTTTTATTATTAACCTACTATTAACATTGATCTATAACAGACAAATGAAGGATGTCGAACCAATAATTATTAAACTCAATATAGCATATTTGACAATTATTAATCTCAATATACCAAAAATAGGATCGAATTTCACAAAGGTGTAATAAATCAAATATAAAGTATATCAAATCGTGACAAAAAGATATATCAAACCGTGACAAAAATAGATAAAAATGAAAATAAAGTCCTAAAATTAAGGTTATCAATAGTAAAAAAGAATCAAGACAAGTTTAATTATTTATTTCTACTTCGATTGCTGAAACAAATCTAAACTAATATCAGTGAATGAATGTTGACCGGATCTTTTATTAAAATGTGACCAAAAAAATATAACAATTAAAAGAAAGTCCAAAAATTAAGGTTATTGAAGGTGAAAATGAATCAAGACAAGTTTAATTATTTGTTTCTATTTCAATTGCTGAATAAAATACTACCACCATCTCACAAAAATAGTCCACATTAAGTTTTCAAATTTGTACTAAAAACAGTACACAACTCAAAATTCAATGTGGACTATTTTTGTAGGAGGGAGGGAATATAAATTAACATTGTTGAATAAATCTTGGTCGAATCTTCTAATTATATCCTTAATCTTTGCCAAATCATAAGAGTATTTTTTTACATATATAACAACAGACCTACAGTCCTATAAAAAGCCATTAAATTCATAATTCTCTAATACTAACAGTTATCAAGCTTTTGACAATTGCAAATGAATTAAAAACAGAAAGAATATCTTCTCATGAAACAACCACTTAGAGTTTAAGAAATCATCGTAACAAAATTCATGTGCTCCAAATAATTGAACAAAAAATCTACTCAAAAGACATAATTAGATTAGAGTAGACAAACAGAGAACTCGAGAGTAAAACAGCAACAATTGCTGCCCCTCTCGTGCGTGTGTGCGGCCGAATCAACATTTAATAATCGGGCTATTTAATAAGTTAAATCAAAACCCAGCTTTCACTGGCCCAAAAATGTTCTCTAGCCCATAACTTAATTAATTCATTTCAATAGCAAAATGGCTTTATTCTTCTCAGCCGAACAGATATATTTGTGCAGACTGTCGACATCTACTCTCTCGCACCTTTGTTACTAATCCATCCAAGGTAATTTCGTCTACTGAAAGAACGAGCTTCGATTGATGTAGAAATAACTCACATCGAAGTAAAATGGCAATGGAGTTGAATAAATGTTGTCTTTATATGCAGAGGATTACCATTCCAGAGATAAAACAACATCCATGGTTTCTAAAGAATTTGCCGAAGGAGCTTATAGATGCGGAGAAGCAGAGTAGTAGTACCAAACATGAACCTGATCCTGAACAACAGCTTCAAAGTGTGGAAGACATAATGAGGATCATACAAGAGGCGAAAATCCCAGGCGAAACGCCTAAACCCGAAACACAAAGCTCCAATGTTGGATCGATCGACACTGATGATTTAGAAGGTGACCTGGAATCTGAAATCGACAACAGCGGAGATTTTGTTGTCCGAGTCTGAAGTTACACTACTTTAGGGAAATGGCTTGTGTGAAGTCGTCTTGTTAATATTCGTTACTGCATTGATGTTAAATTGTTTTTGCTTTTGTATAGACTGTAACAAGAAGATCAATTATCCTCTTAATGAAAATCGTGTCTTTTCCGCGAGATGCATTTGATCCAGGTCATTTCTGATAGTGAATCGGAAGTTATTCGGGAAACAAACCCAACTATTCTATTATTTTTAACTAACATAAAATTCTATTATAGCTTTATAATTTTTTCTTTTTTATAATTCAAGTTTTCCATTAAGAAATGCAACTTTTCTTTTCTTTCTTTATAGAAGGAATGGCAATGATCTTAGATCAATGATTCGCGTATAAATCCTAACAAAAGATAAGGTCCATCAATCGGTGGAGTGAGATAACTAAAAATAGAGAAGGAAATAAAATCCAATGTTCAGTTATTAGAAAAAACGTCCCTAATTATTAAAAGGACAAGAAACAACGTCATTAAATTGATGAAATATCATTATTCTGGAAGTATCAACAATAAACCTTGACACAAGAATACCTCTTTTACCAAGGAAAACTGCAAAAAAGTTTCCTAATTAACAAAATTGTGCAATTTTATTCTGGATTTGCATACGTAACTGAGGTCGACCATGAATTAACAGAGAGAATGATTTTGATAATGAGATGTTTTTTTTTAAAAATAAAAATAAAAAAAAGTAAAAAAAATTAATGGCCCCAAAGAGAATTGAACTTTTGGCCTCCTAGTAATAACAATCTCATCCTAATCTCTTAATCACCCCACCCAACCCTTTTACCCTGGAGGATGGAATATCTAATAAAGAGTAATTTCACAATCCATTATTATTATGTGTTTGTGCCAAACTCAAACCTTTCTGACAATGTCGCCTACGACTAGAGTAGCTTTAGAAGCGTCATCTACCAACTTTTTAACCCCAAGCGTCTCTGCAGCTGTGTCGTCCAGAGAATTAGCACAATCGGTGACGTATGATTGTGCATCAATAAGATTACCTTTTGCGATCAAACTGGTAGCTTGAGAAAGGAAGTTAATACAGACTTTATAAGTTGGGCCTTTGGGGTTACTCCTCTTAATGGCATAAGCAATGGCAAATTTGACTTTTATCAGTGCCCGATCGATGACCATCTTCTTCAATTCTTTTGACTTGAAAGTTGTCGACTTGTTTACCGTTCTTTTAAGCAATCCTTCGCAATATTTGGCGTCGGAAGTGCCTTTGCATATCTCTTGAAGAGTTGTGCCGGATGCATAGGATGCTATAAGAAAGAGAGCAACTAAGGGAATTAGAATCTTTGCCATTTTTTTGTTGCTTTTGGGTAAATGTCTTAGTCGTGTTTGTAATTATTCGTTGAATAAACTATCTATTTATAGGCAGTCAATTTTAAGGTGGAGAAATTTTGGGAATTTTTAACCATAAAAAATTTGTCATTTCTCTTTCTTAACTTATGTAAGATGTAACGTGTTCCTCGAAAGTGTATACAATATACCCATGAAATTTGACAATGTGTGTGTGAATCTGATAGTATCTATATGATCTAGAAGTAAGTAATTTTGTAAATGTACATTATTATTTATTGCCTAAAATTATCAAGAATTTTATTGCTCCAAAATATTGGTAAACTTAAATATAATTTTTGCATTATGTGTACGTAGGTTCAGCTTTTCTACGACTCTAATTAACACAAACTACTATAACACATCACAGAAGACCGATGCCCAAAGTGATGAATTGACAACTTGGAACTTTTGAGTCCGAGTATATGATAGATTGCCATTTCAATCACTAGATTGAGCAAAACGGGATTTATTTAACGCTAATACAAATTCAAGTTATAGAATATCAAGACAGCCTTGATGGGGTCTCAAATCAAACAAATAAATTAAACCTTCTTCAAACTATAACATATTTTGATATCAATCACTCCGTGAGTCAGATCATCACTCTTCCAAGTCTGTCTGCAACAAGTAGAGTTGCTGTGACTAATTTGCTTGTTATTTTTTTTTAGTCTGCATAGGATCTGTGCTTTGTTTTGAGTTTGAGGGAATCGATGTCTGGTCGGTCCATGTATCTGTATGTTTGTTGTTAGTTTATTTTGTTTCTAAATTAAATGAATTTGAGAATTTTGAAAATAGAGGATGTTGATTTTAAAATTGTGTTTATTTCTGAAAGTTCCGAAGTACTCTGTAAAGTGACCCCCGTCATTTTGCAAAGTGATTCTGCACCTATTTGATGTTTGAAGTCAATCTATTTCTGTTAATGGCCCACCCAAAAATATTTTGGTTTTGAGCAAACATTCCCTCCTTGTTTTCTTTTTTCGTGATTTGAGGAATCTTGTAAAAGTTATGTCCCAAAGAAACTTGTTAATTCTGAACTTTTGTGTACTTAATTTGTATTTGCTAGATTTTAATCTGGGGTGAAATTCTGATTATCATCATGAGCATTGATGCCATCTAGCTAGTTTTGTGATGATTTTCAGAATCAGCATGTTTGATTACACATAAGTCACTTAGTTCCTTTCAGAGCATTGATCTTAATTTTCAATTCTTTTTTTTGTTTTTTGGATCTATGGTGCTTCTAGTTTGTTGCCCTCGATGGTCTCTATGCTTAATTGTATGTACCAAGGGATTGAATGAGTTTAATTTCTCACATCTTGAATCTGACCTTACATGCTAACCTTTGGTATTCGGGAGAGACGTTTTGTTTTGTGATCTTATTGGTTTCCAGTTACAACTTTGGTTTACTAGAACCAGGATGTCGCAAACCCTTGTGTGGAGTATCCACTGAAGCTAGTTGGATTGAAATTCTTCAACCACAACTAAGAGTTTACAGTAACTCACACTCATATGTTTCACTATAGGCAGCAAGAGGCCCACCTCATCCCTTTGAAAGAATGAACCCCTTGATCACCAAGGGAGTTTTTTTTTCTCGTTCCAATGTTTTTCTTTTCATTTTTATTTGTACAATTAAGTCTTTTTATTTTTCTTTGTATGATTATATATGTCTGTTCTATTTTGCTATCTGTGTTTGTGGATAGCTTTGTTTTCCCTATTAATTTCTATTGATGTATATAGGTGTCTGTCTATATGTTGTTGTGTATATATTTGTTGAAATTTTTGTGTTTCAAGCTTTTCCTGTTGTCTGTATGTTTAATTATGCTTACTTTAAGTTTGGGGGAGTTTGTGTTTTGTATATGTTTTGATTAGAGTCTTGACAAGTTATAATCCTATCCAAAATTTTTTCTATTAGTCCTTTGTTTGCTTTAGAGTTCTTTGTAGAGTCTTAACAGCCAATTGAATGTTGTATATATATAGTTTGGAATTGTCAATGGTCTAGGATGAATTAGAAAAGTGCGGGAACTTTGAAATCACACATGTGATTTACCTTAGCACAGGGTACACAGTTCAAAACTAATTCCACAAGCACAACCTATCACTTGCCAGAGTGTATGCTTTGGGCTTAAAGTTTTAAAATATAAAATGCTTAATACATCGTTGTGATCTTGTATTGGAGTCCACTTGCCTGAAATCTAGAGGACTGTAAATCTGATAGTTAGAATAAGGCAGCCCTAGGCATTATGGTAGTCTCGATTTAAGCTTATAGTGGTTTGTATTAGCCTAAATATCTTAGAAAAGGGAAAAGTTGGTAGTTTAATATGAGGCTATGTGTTTTGCTGATTGAGAGAGAAATGGCAGAGTGTCCGATGTATTGAATAGCTTGAGAAGCGAGGCATGATACCAAAGAGAGGAGTGTCTTCAGGTATGGTGTGGAATAAAATAAAACAAATGTAGAATGCCAAAAATGTTGGAAATACATTTGGTATAGGCCTGAGTGGGAAAGAAAATAGAGTCTGTAAAATAGAAAAAGTTGAAGGACTCTCGGATGAAAAGGTACAAGAGTGAAGAGATGCAGCTAATGATGCGTGCAGAAATGAGAGAAAGTCCTTAGTTTTGAACATCGGTAAGAATATCCTAGTTGAATGCAGGAAGGAAATAGGTACTGATCACAAGAACATTCATTTGAAATGAATTGAATTTAATCGTAGAATGGATAGTAGGATAGCCTACATTTCTATTTGTGATATGGTATACACACTCACTGGTTTGAACTGTTCTATTCTGTCTGAATAGTGATGATCCTTGGTGTACATGAGAGACCATAATCTAAGACAAAATTTGACAGTTCCAATTATGTTTTCTTCTTTTCTTTGTTTGTGTTCTACCTGGAATTGACACCTCCAATTTCACTTGCCTATGTCATTTCTATTTTATATTTTTCTTTATTTTGTTTTGTTGTTGGTGGTGTTTTGTTTTGCAGTATTAGGGACAATGCTATTTTTAAGTTTGGGAGAGTGGTTGGTTATACATACATGGTCGGTGTTTGTGTATTTGGAGTCTTTTTAACAGTTTATTAGGCTGTTTGTTTTCAAAAAAATTTTGTATCCTTGTTTGTGTTCGCTTTTTGTGTCTGTAGTTTTGTGCGTTCCTGTTTGAGTAGAGTCAGTAGGAGGAGGTCTAAGCTTGTTTGATTGAGGACTAGCAACTCTTCAAGCTTATGGGAGTTGATGGGAGTCAACTTGCACATGTTTTATCAAGCTTTATTTACATCTTTCTACTCGTGTTTTGGTTTAATCTAGTAGGAATTAGATTGTTTTGTGATTTTTGGTGATCAAGGGACCTAAATGCAAAAAAAGGAAAAAAGTGGGCAAAATAGTGAAAAATGGGGGGCAAATTGTGCAAGAAGAAAAAGTTGGTGTTTGGATTCAATTGCAAATAAATAGGAGCAAATTGAACTGCAACAAGTTGTTAATTTTGGGGCTGAAAAGGAGGTCAAGAAGAAGAAATCTTAGAGACAAAGAAAGACAAGGAGGTATGAGCAAGATATGAGCGCATACAGTGAGCAAAAACTAAAGCTAAAAAGTGCTATTGACCCATTCGGAGACCTTAATCATTTAGAAAGGGAAGGAAGACTATAATTCCTCTATAAAAGAGAGAAGATTAGAATCAATTAAGGGAGAATAAGACAGTAAGGAAGAGAGTGGATACAGTATACAAAAGGAGTGAAAAAGGGGCAGCTAGGAGGAGCAAACTCTTCACTCAAGAAAATCAGAAGATGATTCGAGAAAGTCACCTAAAGGTAGCAACAATTTCCCCAGTTCTTTCTCCTTCATCTAGCTGTTTCCTTGCTTCGTATTAATGTTTAATACCCTGTAATTCATCCTTTGTTGTTTGTATATGTACATATAAGTAGCTAAATTCTTCTCTAGGGTCTAATCCCTCTTATTTATAGAAGTATGTTTTGGTAATGCTCTTATATGATTTGTTATATCTAATTCTAGTATTTTAATTAATCTCTTAGTTAAACTGATCACTTAACTAATTGTGCATATATATTATAAAATCCTGAAAAGGTGACATATTTTAGAAATGCTAGAATCAGTCCATGAGCGAGGGGCTAACAACTCTTGATTCTGAACAACAAGGAAACTTAGTTGTTTGGTACGGGTGATCACATAAGGCTTAGGTTCTTCATAGCTTAGTATAATTTGGAATCAACATAGAGAAATAGTTGGTTTATTTATGCTAAGACACCTTCTAAAATAAGAAGACCGACCTTAAGATATACAAGCACCTGACCAGAAACAAATCATATAGCAAAAGGAAGAAATAAAACCATAACACAACTATATAGAGAAGAGTGGAGGATGAACCTAGGTTCCTTTTTGTTTATCTTTCTATCTCCTCACTTGTGGTTACTAAATTTAGATTGATATATTACTTTCCAAGTGGATGAACGTGAATCATTGAGGTAGCCAATTACAGTAAAACGTCGGTAAATTAATAATTTATAAATTAATAATTTCTACTAATTAATAATTTTTTCCGGTTCTAACTTGAGACCAGTTCAAAAAGTGAACAAAATAGATAAAATGATAAGATAATAATGTTTCAGAAAATCTCCTATATATCTATAGGTCTCAACAATAGCATAAATTAATATATACCCTAAAAGAAAAAAATAATAATAAATATAAATATATAGTAACATATGAACTCTTCATACTTATTTTTTAGTCTACGGAGATGATATTAAGTATGTTTGGATTTTTAATATTCAGAAATGTTTGAATACTTGATTGTTTCGGATGTAATAACTATTACAAATTAAGAAATTTAGTGACGATTCTTTTTTCCTCATAGAAATTCTATAAATTAATAATTTATTAATTTATCAATTATTTATTAATTCTCTAAATTAATAAATTTTGGTGGTCCCAACACTATTAATTTATAGAAGTTCTATTGTAGTGTTTCTTTTGTGCATATTGC